GCTTTTAGGGTTTAGGGGTTTAGCGGTTCAGGTGTCTTAAGGCCTTAGAGTTCAGGCGGTTTTTTGGTTGTTGAAGCAGAGGGGTTTAGGGTTACTGCAGGGTGTAGGGGCTTTGGGGCTTTGGGTGTAAGGGGGTTGAAGGTTCAGGGGGGTACTTGGAGGATCATGGGACTTGGTAAGTAGTGTTATAAGTCCCTTAATTGGGGTTAGCAGTATAGTTACCCTAGTTATAACCCTACTTACTAAGTCCCATGATCCCTTAGTAGGGTTCCCTAAACCCTAAAAAACCCTAAACCCTAAACCCTAAACCCTACTTGCTGAGTCCCATGATCCTTTAGTTTGAGGTTCGGGAGCTGTCGGTTTAAGCTCTGGAGCTGACGGTTGAGACTGTATGGCCTGTGGCCATTTACCGGGTTCCTGCGAGTTCTTAATAGCTCCTACCCTAAACCCTAAACCCTAAACCCTAAACCCTAAACCCTAAACCCTAAACCCTAAACTGCAGCTGTTTTGTCGGCAAAGTCTTGTCGTTGGCATGGGTCTTGTGGGGTCCGTAGTCTGAGGTGTTTAGGGGCCGAGGTCTCGGGTTTGGTGTCCAGTGCTTCGATATTGGGGTTTAGGGTTTAGGGTTTAGCATTTAGGGTTTAGGCCTTGGGGTTTAGGGTTTAGGGTTTCGCAGGTAAATTTGCGGTCGATGCCCCCCGGTCGTTGCTGCGACTTTGGCACCTCCGCACCACTACCAAGTTGGTATATATCGGCAAGACTTTCGGTGAAATATGCAGAAACCACAAGAGGCACGTGGTACCCTTCAACTCCTACAGCGGTCTAGGGTTTGACGTTTGGGGTTTAGAGTAGGGTTTACGACTCAGGGGCTTAACTCCTTACCCTTGAACCCTGAAGCTGTTCAGGGTTGAGGGTTCAAAATTCAGGCATTAAGGTTTTGAGTTCCGATCAGAACATACATGAACATACATTGCTGTATGGCTTGCGGCATGGAAGTTTCAGATGAAGCTGAAGGATGTACCCACCCCTAAACCCTAAACGCAGCCTTCGGGAAGACAGAATCGCAAGCAGGGCACATGACCAGCATCCACAGCTGCAGCATCTGACAAGCTGTGTGGCCCTGCGATTTGGCGGAGCTTCTTTCCTACGGTTGACGAGATAAATCCTGCATTACCCAAAATAAGGAATATATCATAATTCCCACATAATTCCCATAGTTTAAGGTCCTTAGGGTAATGCAGGATTTATATCATCAACAGTATCGGTGGCTGATTTAGGGACCCATAAACTACGGCCGTACTTGCGAGCGAGCCCCGATTTGGCACAGGACTTGGGATTTGGGCTTTGGGGTGAAGGATTTACCGTTAATGATATAAATCTTGTACTACCCCTAATAAGGAATATACCATAACTCCCACAGTTTAGGGTCCTTCAGGTAATGCAGGATATAAATCGTCAACAGTAGGAATTTTGGTTTTAGAGTGATTTCATGCTTTAGCCTAGGACCAACAAGTTTGCCGCTAATCCCTACACCCCCAAGTCCTATACCTAAATCCCTAAACCCCTAATTCCTAAAACCATACACCCCACGCCCCAAAACCCTTCAAACCCCGAAACGCCTCAACCCCTAAAACCCCTACAGCCTCAAACGCCCAAACCCTAAACCCCTAAACCCCTAAATCCCTAAACCCCTAAACCCCAGAAGAAAAACCGCAATGCCGACCTGATGATGCATATGGGAGTTTCCAAAAATTAGGGTACCTTATTTTGGGGTCCTTATAATAAGGATCCTATTATTTAGGGTACTATATTAGGGTCCCCTATTTTCGGAAACCCCCATATGAGGATTTGTCCCAAAACCGAAAAGGCCTAGGTTTTGAAGTTGAAATCGTAATTCAGCCTTGGGGTTCAAGTTAGAGTGTAGGGTTAGGGTTTTAGGGTTCAGGG